CCCTTCCAATTTCCCTTTAGTTTTCACTCTGCAATAAAAAGCCTACACAAATTTCAGTGGGTGATTGCAAAAAGTCACTCTGACAGGAGCAATAGCCAATTCCGTCTAGAGACCATTCATCCCTTCAAAACATCATGACTGATTTGACAACTATTGAACATTATATTAAAATAAAATGTGTGTGAGCCTGTATATGAATTACTTATTTATTTCATGGGCTATTGCATATTGCAGGCAATTATGACCATGGGGCAACAGGAGAAAAATCTTTGCGTTACTTTAATGCTCACATGAAAATCTTTCCGCCAGCCCACCCATCGTCGTTGATTTTTTTCGAAACAAATCCGAGCCAGATCAATAGAGGCGCGAATCTAGCAACAGACGAGCATCGAGCCAGCAAGCCGGCAGTATGAGCGAGCAATAAATCAGCAGTAACCAAAATACTCAATATATGTCTAAAGAACCCCAAATCCTTTGTTTTGCTTTCAAAAGTTGTTCAGCAGATGGTGCAAAGAGTGTAGTGCAATGTCAAATACGTAACAGAAAAACAGAAGCGAATACCGGAATCATGTGAAATTCAAGACCCAGGGACTCAGACTTGAGCACTTGGACCATGACTCAAGCACTGGGACTCGAACTTCAGCCATAGGGACTCGTGACTTGACCATTGGTGGCTCGGACTTGGACTCGGACTCAACTAGAACGAGCCATAGGGACTCGTGACCCGACTTGGACTCAAGCAAAAGGGACTTGGGAGTCGACTCGGACTTGAGGTTTAGTGACTCGACAACAACACTGGTTATGATTAGCTCATTTGTGACCCATTTCAGGAAGCTAGGCGTATGTCGCACGTCACTACTTCACAGGAGAGGAATTTGAACATAATATAATATATTTTATTTTATCAAAATGCGTTTTTTCCCAGAAATGACTTCTGGAACATGTGGACTCGTATTTACAGATGTATGCCATCTGGAAATACAAATAAAATTTATCAATTATGAGCCTAGTTGGTTTAGCCACAGAAAAAGACAGGAACCTTCCCGCTAGCCATGATTGGCTGAGATAATGGGTGGGCTGGACATATTGAGTTCGGATTGGTCTGCCCTGTAGCATGCTTCTGCCTATAACATGAGCTGCTCAGTATGGGTACATAATCCTTGCTATTGCTCTCAACAACATTGCTGCCTTGAATTTAGCAGGCACTATCAACCAGGTGTGTCTGGGGGTGATTACAGCCATCTATTGTATTTCATGAACATGTGTACATGTCTAGACAGTGACCCATCCACTTCGCTAGATTTGGCTGGGGGGTGATTAAAGCTTTTCTTCCACAGGATCCATCAATTTAGACAAGTGTGTCTGGTTAAGCATCATCTAATAATTCTGAAATATATACAGTGCATTCGGAAAGTTTTCAGACCCCTTGACTTTTTCCATATTTTGTTACATTACAGCCTTATTCAAAAATTGATTAAATTCCATTTTTTTCCTCATCAATCTACACACAATACCCTATAATAAAAAAGTGAAAACAGGTCTTTAGACATTTTGGAAAATGTATAAAAAATTAAAAAATAACTAATTGACATACATATTCAGACCCTTTGCTACGAGACTTCAAATTGAGCTCAGGTTAATCCTGTTTCCATTGATCATCCTTGAGATGCTTCTACAACTTGATTGGAGTCCACCTGTGGTAAATTCAATTAAATGGAAATGATTTGGAAAGGCACACACACCTGTCTATATATGGTCCCACAGTTGACAGTGCATGTCAGAGGAAAAACTGAGCAATCGGGGGAGAAGGGTCTTGGTCAGGGAGGTGACCAAGAACCCGATGGTCACTCTGACAGAGCTCCAGAGTTCCTCTGTGGAGATGGGAGAACCTTCCAGAAGGACAACCATCTCTGCAGCATTCCACCAATCAGGCCTTAATGGTAGAGTGCCCAGACGGAAGCCACTCCTCAGTAAAAGGCACATGACAGCCCGCTTGGAGTTTGCCAAAAGGCACCTAAAGGACTCTGAGACCATGAGAAACCAGATTCTCTGGTCTGATAAAACCAAGATTGAACTCTTTGGCCTGAATGCCAAGCGTCACGTCTGGAGGAAACCTGGCACCATCCCTAAGGTGAAGCATGGTGGTGGCAGAATCATGCTGTGGGGATGTTTTTCAGCCGCAGGGACTGGGAGACTAGGCAGGTTCGAGGGAAAGATGAACGGAGCAAAGAGATCCTTGATGAAAACCTGCTCCAGAATGCTCAGGACCTCAGACTGGGGCGAAGGTTCACCTTCCAACAGGACAACAACCCTAAGCACACAGCCAAGACAACGCAGGAGTGGCTTCGGGAGAAGTCTCTGAATGTCCTAGAGTGGCCCAGCCAGAGCCCGGACTTGAACCCGATCGAATATCTCTGGAGAGACCTGAAAATAGCTGTGCAGTGACGCTCCCCATCCAACCTACAGAGCTTAAGAGTATCTGCAGGGAAGAATGGGAGAAACTCCCCAAATACAGGTGTGCCAAGCTTGTAGCATCATACCCAAGAAGAATCGAGGCTGTAATCGCTGCCAAAGGTGCTTCAACAAAGTACTGCGTAAAGGGTCTGAATACTTATGTAAAATGTGATATTTCAGTTTTTGTGTACAAACATTTCTAAAAACCAGTTTTTGCTTTGTCATTATGGGGTATTGTGTGTAGATTGATGAGGGGTTAAAAACAATTTAATCAATTTTAGAAGAAGGCTGTAACGTAACAAAATGTGGGAAAAGTCAAGGGGTCTGAATACTTTCTGAATGCACTGAATGAGTTAAATATGGGAACTGACCTTCATTTTCTTCTTCAACAAAGTAGCAATCTCCAGCGGTTATTGTTATGCCATTACTTATGACAGGAGTCCTCCTGCTGCGACTAATTTGGATGGAGACCTTCACCTGGTGGGACTGGTTCTGTAACAACAGCTTGAGTTCTCGCTTTCCCATCGCTTCCTTGGGAAATTATAGGTCCTCGTTTTCCTTGTAGTTTGTTTCACAATAAAAATGATTTTGCATCTACAAAGTGGTAGGCATGTTATGTAAATCAAATGATACAAACCCCCCAAAAATCCAGGTTGTAAGGCAACAAAATAGGAAAAGTCACTGTAAATATTTGTATATTTTTCCATTTGTTTGCTGGTAAATATTTGAAACTTGCTCGAATTGGCTGTAAATGTACACATTTGCATATTAAATGTATTCATTGCAAGTAACATTTTCAATTGACTGAAATTGAATGTTCCGTTACCCAGTTCCTTACTGGTCCTTAACCTGTTCTCCCTAGCCATTCATCTTTTGTGCTCAATTCCAAATAAAATTTTAGGCCAGGGTTTGTATGGAATTGGACATTGGTTTCTAGTTAGTGTTTGCATATCTGGAGGTTCTAGATGTGTACGTAATATGGCAGAAGTGTCCCAGAGTCCATTACAGAGCAGGGTTGAGTCATCACCATATTCCTACACCTATCCAAGCCCCATCAGGTCAAACACTAAAAAGATAGAGTAGGGGGTTAAAGGCCTTAATTAAACTGGCCTGTACCTTGACGTGGTGAGAGGGCTTCCAACTAAACCAGGCCCATGTTATTGAAAATGAAGTATTCTTTGTTTGCTTTTCCGTCCCACCACCCCTGACTGAGACTGGCTGCCTGTCGAGGTCAAGTGACAGGAAGAACAAGCCGCAGCACCTGTCTCTTGATTCTGCCTCTTTCCTCTCTCCTCATCCTTTAACTCTTTCTCTCCTCTCCCTCCAGATGAAATTCTGCATTTGTGACGTCTGATTGCCCAAAAATCTGCCCACTCATCCCATCCCCTCCTCCATCTCATTACATCATCTAAAACTACTGTTATTGTCATGTTGTCATTATCTGCTAATAAAGTTTGCTAGCCGTATCATACTGGGCACATAATATGTGACATACACAGATGAACTAAAAACACTAGCACTGCAAACACTCAGAAAAATAGAGCAGCAGTGCCTGGACTTTGCAGTCTCCCTCTTCAAATACCCCTTCAGAGACTGGCTGCCTGTTGAGAACAAGTGACAGGCAGAACCTTCCAACCACACAGCACCCACCACCTCAAAATTCCACACACCAGAATTAAGTATTTCAGTCTGATTGCCATGTGACAAAAAGTTATCTGTGAAAATAAATGAATGACACACCTGTATCACAAAAATATAAAAGTTTATGTATTAAAATCTTAAATATTGCCAGGTTGGTTTTCACAGCTGTTTCACAAGATTGTAAGTTGTAAGGTATCATTTGATGGTATTTATTTGTTCCACATTATTCATTGTTGTATCCTAGGACCTATAATAGATACATATATATTCAACCACAAGGGGGTACTAATGAGCTATGCAAGATAGAAAAAAATGAATCATAATAGAGGACTACTGAAATTATATTATTTCAGTGTAGATAAGGGAAGGGCAGGTTAAAATAAAACATGACAGCCAGACAAGCCAGTGTATGAATCAAACGGATTTGCATATGAATGGAGTGGAAATTAGCTGACTATGTGATCTGTAAGGTAAGTAACTTTAATGTGTCAAGAAGATTACATGTTTTCTTTGCCATTTTCGAAACGTAGCAACGTTTAAGACATGGATTTCATGTTGTAATGTTAACAAGGTACCCAAAAGTAGTTTGAAGTAATGTTTTCATTTTATTAGCTAAACAAAACTTGTTTAAACAGCGAAATTGTTGCAGAAATCAGCCTTGTTTGCATAGCGATTATAAAAATAACGTTGTTTAGGCTGTAACGATCTCCAAAATTCTAATCATTAGGTCATCACACCGTTGATATAGCAATAGTTTATCGAATCCCATTGTGACACAGAGGGGGACACTTTTTGGCCGGGGTACATTATTTGGCATGACAGGCCCAAACTCCTCCATTTCCCAATACTTAATCTAGATGCAGGGCGTTTAAGAGTCTGCTTAGATGTCTCTTTCCTTTTCTCACCCTGGAAGATACTGTTATCTTCATTCCCTTGCCAGGGAACTTCTCGTTCCTGAACTGTGCTGGACTTTTCTCTTCCTTTCTTGCATTGGGGGATGTATGGGGAGCCACACCATCTCCTTCAACGGATGACACATTAACACCTGAAGGGAAATTTCAAAACAAAGCCATTGTGTTAAAGATTATGACTAGCAAGAACTAAATAGTGTAGAACAGCATGGTGGTAGCTAACTTTCTGAATGGTTTTATTAGACACAGACTAGTCGGAGGGGGTTATGATCAGTGTTGTAGTACTCAATTCCAGGACTCGAGTCATACTAGAGTCCCGATTTGCATTACTTGTGACTTGACTCGGACTCACCTTCTCGTGACTTGTATTTGCACTGGATAGGCTACTATGATAAGAAGCATATTAGCAGCACTGGGTGTGCAGAGCAGCGAGGGTTCTGTTCTCTAGCAATGGGAAGGCTGCGCCAGATCCGGCACACACAGCCTTAATCAGCTGGTGAGCAAGCGAGCAGAATCCGGCTCCACCTCCAATCATACGCTACACATCATGCAAGCGATTCTCTTTCTTCCTCGTAACCAACAGTCACCAGCATACTTTTTAGCTTTGCCTGGTTAAGAAACACAAATGGCTTTACTTTTCTATACCTTGAGTATAGAAAAGTAGGCTGTCTTTGAATTTGTTGTCTCGCTCTACCCTTCCAATTTCCCTTTAGTTTTCACTCTGCAATAAAAAGCCTACACAAATATCAGTGGGTGATTGCAAAAAGTCACTCTGACAGGAGCAATAGCCAATTCCGTCTAGAGACCATTCATCCCTTCAAAACATCATGACTGATTTGACAACTATTGAACATTATATTAAAATAAAATGTGTGTGAGCCTGTATATGAATTACTTATTTATTTCATGGGCTATTGCATATTGCAGGCAATTATGACCATGGGGCAACAGGAGAAACATCTTTGCGTTACTTTAATGCTCACATGAAAATCTTTCCGCCAGCCCACCACTCGTTGTTGCTGGGCAGAATTTTTTCGAAACAAATCCGAGCCAGATCAATAGAGGCGCGAATCTAGCAACAGACGAGCACCGAGCCAGCAAGCCGGCAGTATGAGCGAGCAATAAATCAGCAGTAACCAAAATACTCATATTATGTCTAAAGAACCCCAAATCCTTTGTTTTGCTTTCAAAAGTTTTTCAGCAGATGGTGCAAAGAGTGTAGCGCAATGTCAAATACGTAACAGAAAAACAGAAGCGAATACCGGAATCATGTGAAATTCAAGACCCAGGGACTCAGACTTGAGCACTTGGACCATGACTCAAGCACTGGGACTCGAACTTCAGCCATAGGGACTCGTGACTTGACCATTGGTGGCTCGGACTTGGACTCGGACTCGGACTCAACTAGAACGAGCCATAGGGACTCGTGACCCGACTTGGACTCAAGCAAAAGGGACTTGGGAGTCGACTCGGACTTGAGGTTTAGTGACTCGACAACAACACTGGTTATGATTAGCTCATTTGTGACCCGTTTCAGGAAGCTAGGCGTATGTCGCACGTCACTACTTCACAGGAGAGGAATTTGAACATAATATAATTTATTTTATTTTATCAAAATGCGTTTTTTCCCAGAAATGCCTTCTGGAACATGTGGACTAGTATATACAGATGTATGCCATCTGTAAATACAAATACAATTGATAAATTATGAGCCTAGTTGGTTTAGCCACAGAAAAAGACAGGAACCTTCCCGCTAGCCATGATTGGCTGAGATAATGGGTGGGCTGGACATATTGAGTTCGGATTGGTCTGCCATGTAGCATGCTTCTGCCTATAACATGAGCTGCTCAGTATGGGTACATAATCCTTGCTATTGCTCTCAACATTGCTGCCTTGAATTTAGCAGGCACTATCAGCCAGGTGTGTCTGGGGGTGATTACAGCCATCTATTGTATTTCATGAACATGTGTACATGTCTAGACAGTGACCCATCCACTTCGCTAGATTTGGCTGGGGGGGTGATTAAAGCTTTTCTTCCACAGGATCCATCAATTTAGACAAGTGTGTCTGGTTAAGCATCATCTAATAATTCTGAAATATATACAGTGCATTCGGAAAGTTTTCAGACCACTTGACTTTTTCCATATTTTGTTACATTACAGCCTTATTCAAAAATTGATTAAATTCAATTTTTTCCTCATCAATCTACACACAATACCCTATAATAAAAAAGTGAAAACAGGTCTTTAGAAATTTTGGGAAATGTATAAAATAAAATAAAAAATAAAAATAAAATGTACATACATATTCGGACCCTTTGCTACGAGACTTAAAATTGAGCTCAGGTTAATCCTGTTTCCATTGATCACCCTTGAGATGCTTCTACAACTTGATTGGAGTCCACCTGTGGTAAATTCAATTAAATGGACATGATTTGGAAAGGCACACACACCTGTCTATATAAGGTCCCACAGTTGACAGTGCATGTCAGAGGAAAAACTGAGCAATCAGGGGAGAAGGGCCTTGGTCAGGGAGGTGACCAAGAACCCGATGGTCACACTGACAGAGCTCCAGAGTTCCTCTGTGGAGATGGGAGAACCTTCCAGAAGGACAACCATCTCTGCAGCATTCCACCAATCAGGACTTAATGGTAGAGTGCCCAGACGGAAGCCACTCCTCAGTAAAAGGCACATGACAGCCCGCTTGGAGTTTGCCAAAAGGCACCTAAAGGACTCTGAGACCATGAGATACCAGATTCTCTGGTCTGATAAAACCAAGACTGAACTCTTTGGCCAGAATGCCAAGCATCACGTCTGGAGGAAACCTGGCACCATCCCTAAGGTGAAGCATGGTGGTGGCAGAATCATGCTGTGGGGATGTTTTTCAGCCGCAGGGACTGGGAGACTAGGCAGGTTCGAGGGAAAGATGAACGGAGCAAAGAGATCCTTGATAAAAACCTGCTCCAGAGTGCTCAGGACCTCAGACTGAGGCGAAGGTTCACCTTCCAACAGGACAACAACCCTAAGCACACAGCCAAGACAACGCAGGAGTGGCTTCGGGAGAAGTCTCTGAATGTCCTAGAGTGGCCCAGCCAGAGCCCGGACTTGAACCCGATCGAATATCTCTGGAGAGACCTGAAAATAGCTGTGCAGTGACGCTCCCCATCCAACCTACAGAGCTTAAGAGTATCTGCAGGGAAGAAACTCCCCAAATACAGGTGTGCCAAGCTTGTAGCATCATACCCAAGAATAATCGAGGCTGTAATCGCTGCCAAAGGTGCTTCAACAAAGTACTGCGTAAAGGGTCTGAATACTTATGTAAAATGTGATATTTCAGTTTTTGTGTACAACCATTTCTAAAAACCAGTTTTTGCTTTGTCATTATGGGGTATTGTGTGTAGATTGATGAGGGGTTAAAAACGATTTAATCAATTTTAGAAGAAGGCTGTAACGTAACAAAATGTGGGAAAAGTCAAGGGGTCTGAATACTTTCTGAATGCACTGAATGAGTTAAATATGGGAACTGACCTCTTTCATTTTCTTCAACAAAGTAGCAATCTCCAGCGGATATTGTTATGCCATTACTTATGACAGGTGTCCTCCTGCTGCGACTGATTTGGATGGAGACCTTCACCTGGTGGGACTGGTTCTGTAACAACAGCTTGAGTTCTCGCTTTCCCATCGCTTCCTTGGGAAATTATAGGTCCTCGTTTCCCTTGTAGTTTATTGATATTTCTAATTGCAAAATTGCATAACCTTCATCAACTTCACAGATGTCAGCCACTGCTGCCTTGGTCAACGCACCAAAGAAGGACGCCAACTGCTTGTGCAAAGCCTTGGAATTCCACATGGGTCTGGGTATTCTGTTCATTTTCAGGGCTAGTCTGTTACAGTTTATCATTTGACACTTTAAAATGTCAAATTATATTTGGGTGGTACTATGGATTTGGAAATACCGATGTGCAAAAAGTTTGTTCTTCTGGAGAATAGCTAGCTACAAACAATAGGAAAGGGGTGAAGAAGAGATACTTCCTGTACCCCATACTCAGTCTTTAAAACTTTTATTTTGAACAGCAGCCTTGGTGACAGCCTGCGTTCTCATCACACAAATGCTGCAGGTGGATCCCCTGAAGTTGCACAGGCAGGAACCAGATAAATGTGGTTGTGTTCACTTTACTATATAACTTTGTGAAGTGTATTATGTGACAGTTATGTAAATGCATTGTAAAGGAACTCAGAAATTACAAAACGGATATTCATGAATATTAGAAATATATTGCAATGCACAATATAATAATAATATAATATGCCATTTAGCAGACGCTTTTATCCAAAGCGACTTACAGTCATGCGTGCATACATTTTTGTGTATGGGTGGTCCCGGGGATCGAACCCACTACCTTGGCGTTACAAGCGCCGTGCTCTACCAGTTGAGCTACAGACGACCACACCTCTCAACAATTACCTGATGGTGAGCTAGAATTGACTTATTCCTGACTTTTTATATTGCATATGAACAAGTAATAAACACTGTTCTGACTCACTAATTTCAGACATATTGTGGAAGTTATTCACCTTCAATGTCAACACACTGCCAAACCCAAATATTGACAATTACATGCTAATTGTATGGCTCCCACTTTAAACAAACTACAATCCATAAAGGCTTTATATAGTGTGCATAGTCTTCATAAGAACACCATAGATGTTTCACAAATCATCTATAAGCTATTGTCATATTCCTACTGTATAAATGGTGGCATTACATATGACATTGCCCTATCTGGGGGCTTTCCTCAATTACAACCAATGTCATGTGTAATGTCACCATCAGCATTACACCATGTAATCCTTTGTATGTTTTTGGGGGGGAATGGGTTATGGTACATTGCAAAATGTGACGTGCAACAGCCAGACCTGGCCTAGAGCGTGTTCTGACCCTGGAGTTGTAAATGTCATATTTACAGCATGTTTTATGGTAAAGCTGAGATAATAACACATGGTCTCAGTAAACAGGTAATAAATCAATACATTTAAAAGGGTTTAGCTGAAATTGTATTTTGTTCAAACTGTCGTTTGACATGTCTGGAGGAACACACACTCACTCTTATCCATAATAATCTCATCATGTAGACTAGCATACTGTATCTGTGAGCTGTTGGCCAGAGCGCACGTGCCAAGACCAGAGTAGGCACATTTGCTATTGAATGCAACAGTTTGTGACAAAGCTATCGGTAGAGTTGAAAATGCAATGGAAACACATTGAACACATTTTATCCAGTACCTGAAAACTTAAACGAAAAAGTAAATTGTGTGCACTGTCATCAGGCACTGATTTGTATCCGCAAGAATTCCGGAAACAGACCACTGGTTGGAAAATGCGCATTTTCTTTATGCAGATTTTATAATTTTGGCATGAAAATCACCAATTGGATGGAAACCTAGCTACTGACCCACAAAACGTCTTTGTAGATACATGAGTGTTAGACAAAACAAGGAAAGTGAACTTCAAAACGTGATGTCGTTTTATTGGGATTTGCAGCTGTTGGTAAATAATGAATCTTCTGAAATAACTTACATCCTTTAAATAAACTTTCCTGCTGTCCGTATTGTTAAAAGGTGAGTTTACTGGGAGAACACATTTTCTCTTACAGTTCTTGCGAGTTATCTTCTTGCAATCACACTAATAATGTTATATTGTTACGTATAATTACAACCCTTTATAAAGCACAGCTTTTTTGAGAATTTTCATAGTAGGATATGATGCATTAGGCAATGCACTTTATAGTTCCTATGAATACTTTATGTGTGCTATATAAAGCCTTTATGAATTGTGGTTCATTTAAAGTGTGACCATTATGGTAACAACTTATATGGAATGACTGTTCCATTTTCAAAATACATTCAAATAGCTTTGTTTCATTGGGTTAAATATTCTCAATTGTATCATTTCAAAAGGCAATTAAATGGAAAAGAAATTGAAATGAGAGCATCGCAATGTTAGGCCACGTTTTTCACCTCTACCATTCTTGCGAAGTTCATCCATCAAAACATATCATCAGTGTGAAAATACAAAATAGCCTAATCTTTATGACTAATGTTCAAACTTAGATGTCAAACAGTGTCAAGGTTCTGGTCTAAAGCTTCTAAAAATGTTAGGCATAACCGTATTCATGGAGCTCTCAACTAGCGTCACACCTTACGGATTAGGGTGGTTTTTCTGTTGGTGTAACCTCAAATTTTGTTTCCCTGCAAATCTTTTACTACACTGCTCGCAGGCAAATGGCCGCTCTCCGGTATGTACGCTCTGGTGTGTTTTCAGATGGCCAGACTGGGTGAACCTCTTCCCGCACTGGGCGCAGCTGTACGGTCTCTCTCCTGTGTGAACCCGCAGGTGTGTCTCCAGATTTCGCGACGATGTAAAACACTTGCTGCAGAAGGTGCAAATAAAACGCTTGCCGTCTCTGCTGTCGTACTTGGCTGCAGCGTGAAGTCCGGCAGCGGTCATTTGATATTGGCCAGAGCTCAAGTCTGCAGCCTTGTCAAGCAGCATTTCCCTGCGGTCCGGTTTCAGGTATTGCCCGTGCTGCATGGAAACCATTCCCAGCATACCCTGGTTGCTCCATGAAGAACACATATCCAGTTCCACGTCGTAAGGTAGAGAGCTGACCATGGAAACTTCTCTTTTCATTTCGAAATTCCCAGCGAGAGAATTTGGACTACTGTCTGGTTCAAAAGGAAACCGTTTCCCTGTCAGGTGAGTAGGGGGGATGTCGGTGTCTGTTTCTGAAGGGAAATCATAAACGGGTTCCACTGTCTCCATTTCATCACCCCCCCCCTGTGGACTGGAGGACCCAGACTCACTGGGTGTCTCATGCAGCGTGTAGTCAAGGCTCAGGGGGTTCCATCTTCCGGCCGTGAACTTAGAGCGCAAAAACTGGGGGGTCCTCTGAGAACTCTCGTTCCCCTGCTCGGATCGGTGGCCACTATCCTCTCCACTTCTGTCCCACTCCCTCGTAGTCATGTTGGAGGAGGTCATTCTGGATGGCCCTTCTTCACAGTCATTCACTTCGACATACAACGCCTCAGTACCTTAGGGAAGAGATTGGAGCAAATAGGGATGTCAATAAACACAGTGATGAACCTGTGTTTCCATTGTTTTGTAAGGGGAGAGGTAGGAGATGTGCCTGGCAACACGGTGGGGGTACATATTGCCCTACACAAGCAATAATAATGTAGATGATAAAGATTTTTCCTATGTCTCAAAAACATTTTAAACAGGGTTGTAGTTCAGCCATCTGCAACTAATGTCTGGGAGATGCAGATGAACCAGTTTGGCCCAAAACGCTCACGACAAAATGATTGTCAGCGTTGATGTGCGGAGCAATATTGCCAGTAATGGGGGAGATTGTGTAGGCCTACCCTTTATTTTTTGTGTGACAATGTTAGGAGTGTGATTCAACTAAGTTCACTTTACCACATCGGGGAGAGAAAAGCAGTTGACATAATAACAGACGTAGAATTTCCAATGTACATACAATTCCACCTGGCTAACAATTCATGTGTACACCTTTCACTTACCCTTCTCACTGAATAGCAGAACATCCTGTGTGTCATCACTATTATCCAAGTCCCCGCCCAGCTTCTCCTCCTTGATCAAGACTATGTCAGGTCCGCTCTTCTCCTCGTCAGGTAACTGCAAAACCACCTGATATGGCGAGAGAGCATATTTAATTGAAAATACAGGAACATGCAGGGTTTGCGGAATGAGTTGTAGAGGCAGCAGAATTGGGGACATGTACTGTAAGTCATGTTAAAAGACAAACTAGACATTAATAGTATAAAATGTTTGTATAGACCAGGGGTGTCAGACATACAGCATCTGGGTTCGATCTACACTGAAATGGCTCAAACCCAATAAAAACTGTGTAGACATGATAATAGTCTCTTCACTCTGTCCAACTCGCTAACAATTACCGAAAGAAAAGTTAGGACAGGGAGGATTGAAAATTCAGAAAATGATGGATAGAGGATTAGCACATTTTGAAGGTAAGGAAATATAGCACATTTTCAGTGTGTTCCTCCAGACCTTGGTGAAGACAGAATGCGACCTGCGGGACAAAATGAGTTTGACACCCCTGGTATAAACATTGTGGTTTCACCAGTAGAGTCCATTACTTCCTAATGGAAAATGTCCCAAGACACTCAATGTAATGGAACCACCAAGTAATGGTTTTAGTTTGGATGTAGTGGAAACCATTAGATTGCGGTCTACTGGTCACTGATGTTTTTTAAGTTGGGCTCTCAACAGAAAAAACAGAATGCATTTGGGATAAATCAAGGATTTATCATCAATTAAACATGGATGGCAAAACAGAACATTAGAGAAAGCAATAAACCATCTCTAATAAAAGCTTAATGTAGACATTTTTTCTATTACCTCTTTATTTTCAGACTGTTGTGTGGCTTCCCGAACAGCTGTGATCTTTCCAGCTCCTCTTAGATTTTCATTTGACTGCTTGGTACAGGCAGCCCTTCCAGATGAAGAGGAACGTTCTAGGGACAAAGTGAGAAGTAGGCCTGATAACTAAGTAAGCTACAATATTGTAATGAAGACAGTATGTGCCATCAATGAATCACATATGATGGACAAGACCATCAAACACACACGACCAAAAGTATGTGGACACCTGCTCGTCTCATTCCGAAATCATCAGCATTAATATGGAGTTGGTCCCCCTCTTTGCTGCTATAACAGCCTCCACTCTTCTGGGAAGGCTTTTCACTAGATGTTGGAACATTGCTGCGGGGACTTGCTTCCATTCAGCCACAAGAGCATTGGTGAGGTCGGGCACTGATGTTGGGCGATTAGGCCCGGCTCGCAGTCGGCGTTCCAATTCATCCCAAAGGTGTTTGATGGGATTGAGGTCAGGACTTTGTGCAGGCCAGTCAAATCTTCCACACCGATCTCGACAAACCCTTTCTGTATGGACCTTGCTTTGTGAACGGGGGCATTGTCATGCTAAAACAGGAAAGGGCCTAACCCAAACTTTTGCCACAAAGTTGGAAGCACGGAATCGTCTAGAATATCATGTATGCTGTAGCGTTAAGATTTCCCTTCACTGGAACTAAGGGGCCTAGCTCGAACCATGAAAAACAGCCCCAGACCATTATCGCTCCTCCACCTAACTTTAAAGTTGGCACTATGCATTGGGGAAGGTAGCATTCTACTGGCATCCACCAAACCCAGTTTTGTCCGTCGGTCTGCCAGATGGTGAAGCATGATTTATCACTCCAGAGAACGCATTTCCACTGCTCCAGAGTCCAATGGCGGCGAGCTTTACACCACTCCAGCTGACACTTGGCATTGCGCATGGTGATCTTAGGCTTGTGTGCGCTGCTGGCCATGGAATACCATTTCATGAAGCTCCCAACGAACAGTTCTTCTGCCGACATTGCTTCCAGAGGCAGTTTAGAACTCGGTAGTGAGAGTATTCCAACCGACGACAAACAATTTCTACGCACTACGCGCTTCATCAGCCCTCTGCGGTTCCGTGAGCTTGTGTGGCCTACCACTTCACGGCTGAGCCGTTGTTGCTCCTAGACGTTTCCACTTCACAATAACAGCACTTACAGTTGACTGGAGCAGCTCGAGCAGGGCTGAAATTTGACGAACTGACTTGTTGGAAAGGTGGCATCCTATGACAGTGCCACGTTGAAAGTAACTTTGCTCTTCAGTAAGACCATTCTACCGCCAATGTTTGTCTATGGAGATTGCATGGCGGTGTGCTCGATTATATACAACCGTCAGCAATGGGTGTGGCTGAAATAGCCAAATCCACTAATTTGAAGGGGTGTGCACATACATACTTTTGTATATATGGTATATATATATATATATATATATATATATATGTATATATATATATATATATATATATATATATATATATATATGCACAGTACCAGTCAAAAGTTTGGACACACCTACTCATTCAAGGGTTTTTCTTTATTTTTACTATTTTCTACATTGTAAAATAATAGTGAAGCCATCAAAACTATGAAATAACACATGAAATCATGTAGTAACCAAAAAAGTGTTAAACAAATCAAAATATATTTTATATTTGAGATTCTTCAAAGTAGCCACCCTTTGCCTTGATGACAGCTTTGCACACACTTGGCATTCTCTCAACCAGCTTCATGAGGTAGTCACCTGGAATGCATTTCAAATAACAGGTGTGCCTTTTTAAAAGTTAATTTGTGGAATTTCTTTACTTCTTAATGCGTTTGAGCCAATCAGTTGTGTTGTGACAAGGCAGGGGTGGTATCCAGAAGATGGCCCTATTTGGTAAAAGACAACGTCCATATTATGGCATGAACAGCTCAAATAAGCAAAGAGAAACGACAGTCCATCATTACTTTAAGACATGAAGGTCAGTCAATCCGGAACATTTCAAGAACTTTGAAAGTTTCTTCAAGTGCAGTCGCAAAAACTATCAAGCGCTATGATGAAACTGGCACTCATGAGGACCGCCACAGGAAAGGAAGACCCAGAGTTACCTCTGCTGCAGAGGATATGTTTATTAGTTACCAGCCTCAGAAATTGCAGCCCAAATAAATGCTTCACAGAGTTCACGTAACAGACACTCTCAACATCAACTGTTCAGAGGAGACCGCGTGAGTCAGGCTTTCATGGTCGAATTGCTGCAAAGAAACCACTACTAAAGGACACCAATGAGAAGAAGAGACTTGCTTGGGCCAAGAAACACGAGCAATGGACATTAGACCGGTGGAAATCTGTCCTTTGGTAGTGTCCAAATTTGAGACGCGTCTTTGTGAGACGCAGAGTAGGTGAACGGATGTTCTCCGCATGTGTGGTTCCCACCGTGAAGCATGGAGGAGATGGTGTGATGGTGCTTTGCTGGTGACACTGTCTGATTTATTTAGAATTCTAGGCACACTTAACCAGCATGGCTACCACAGCATTCTGCAGCGATACACCATCCCATCTGGTTTGCGCTTAGCTGGAATATCATTTGTTTTTCAACAGAACAATGACCCAAAACACACCTCCAGACCGTATAAGGGCTATTTGACCAAGAAGGAGAGTGATGGAGTGCTGCATCAGATGACCTGGCCTCCACAATCACCCGACCTCAGCCCAATTGAGATGGTTTGGGATGAACAGCCAACAAGTGCTCAGCATATATGTGGGAACTCCTTCAAGACTGTTGGAAAAGCATTCCAGGTGAAGCTGGTTGAGAGAATGCCAAGAGTGTGCAAAGCTGTCTATATATAGATATATTTTCATTTGTTGAACACTTTTTTGGTTACTACATGATTATATATGTGTTATTTTATAGTTTTGATGTCTTCACTATTATTCTACAATGTAGAAAATAGTAAAAAATAAAGAAAAACCCTTGAATGAGTAGGTGTGTCCAAACTTTTGACTGGTACTGTATGCGCACACAGTGTATAAAACATTAGGAACACCTTCTCTTTCCATGACAGACTGACCAGGTGAATACAGGTGACGGCTATAATCCCTTATTGATGTCACATGTTAAATCCACTTCAATTAGTGTAGATGAAGGGGAAGAGACAGGTTAAAGAAGGATATTAAAGCCTTGAGACAATTTAGAATGTGTGTCATTCTAAGTGTGTGGGCGGGCAACCGCAGGGTTCATGTGACGCGTCTAGTGCAGTAGTGCCTAGGTAGAGGTAAGCTGCATGCGCGCTTAACACGTGCTTTCATACTCTCAACTTACAGCTCGCTGCCGTTAGCCCTTGTAGTGAATTGGGGAGCAGCTTCATGCACAAGCCTTGCCGGTACAAAGCCTCTCCATGACCAAGACTCCTGTCAGGCCTCCTTGTGGCGGCACACGTTAACTGGTTGTCTTGAAACTCCAGGCTAACCGCCAGAGATGAGTCTGTACAGGCACACCTCTGTGTGGACACGCCCTGGCAGCCATCAACCACTGGCCCACTGCCTTGTGGGTTAGTCTGGTACGACAAAGGCTAGGGGAGCACACCCTGAGAGAAAAGCAGAGTGCTGGCGGTGCCCGGTAGGCGGATACCGATAGACTGGGGATCCGGGAGCCTACTTCAGCTGTGGAAGATGCTGGTCGTCCTGAGTTTCCCCCCTTGCCACTGGAATCCACCTTCCTACAGTGAAGTAGTGCTGTTGGGGATTGCGCACCCTCAGTGGCACTTTAAATAACCTCCTTTGCGCAGGTATTCACTTCTGACCTGGGTGAAGTCATCAACCGGAAACCGGACTAAAGCCTTGCAGAGTTGGAGTGTCTGGTGACAGGGGTAGGAGTGAATGCACCGGGAGCCCTTAATCAGACCCCTGCACGCCAGCGGCACAAGGCTATTATGGTCGCCAGCAGCTGGGACTTGAGTGGCAGCTGCTTTTGGCAGGCTACTGTGGGACTCAGCAGCCCTATTTAGGAGCCACACTGCTCACCCCAGCTGAGGAGAGGCCTAGAAAAGGTGGCCCAAAAATTGCCCACTCATTCATCCCTGGATAGGCTACTGCACCTATCGGGAGTTCCACTCAGCAGTCGAAAAATGCTAAAGAAAATAATTCCCCTGAAATTGGAGGAGACATGAAACATCAGAACTCTTTTGGACACTGATGACAATAACGATAGACCCTATCGGAGAACAGCTCTGATTGCTGCAGAACTAAGACACTACAACATTGACATTGCTGCCCTGAGTGAGATCAGGTTCCTGGATGAAGGTTCCCTGAAAGAGGAGGGAGAAGGCTACACCTTCTTCTGGAAAGTTTACGCTCCGGGTGGACAACATCAGCACGTTGTGGGACTGGCAATTAAGAACAGCCTTTTACCCAGTCTCTCCGAAACACCTGTCGGCATAAGTGAAAGACTCATGTCTCCGTATCCCCCTAGCCACGATGCGCTACGCCACTCTTCTCAGTGCAATACACGACAATGTTACCATCTGAAAATGAGGCAAAGGACTGCTTCTACCAGTCACTAGATGAGGCCCTTCACCACATCCCCAGGAATGACAAGATATTTCTGCTGGGTGACTTCAATGCTAGGGTGGGACAGAACAACCGGATATAGAGCGGAGAGCTGGGTAGGCATGATGTTGGCCAAGTCAATGAGAACGGCATGAGACTGCTAACTCTATGTGCCGAGCATGATCTCATCATCACTAGCACCTTGCTCCAGCAGAAGAACAAATATAAAACACCCATGGATGCACCAAACACTGGCACCTGATCGACTAAGTCATAGTGAGACGTTCTGACACCAATGACGTCCTGCTAACATGTGCCATTAGAGGTGCAGAATGCTGGACAGATCATTGTATGACACTGGTTAAACTCCAGGTGAGAATATGTCACCCCTAACGCCTGCAGAAGTCCAGGAAGAGGAGTCTGCACTGTACCCGGCTTGAGAAAGCTGCAGTAGGGGACGAGGGAGATTGAGTTGAGAAGAAGCTCAGAGGAACCCATAGACCAGAAGTGGGCATCTATCAGCTCAGTGCTCTATCAGGCAGCGGCCCACTCCA